CCCGGGCAGTGCTGGGATGGAAGGAGCCTCTGCACCACCAGCCCCAGTTGTGGCTAAGCCCTGTACCTGGTTTATGTGCGTTTCATAGGCAGGCACCTGGGCAGACCCAGAAGGGGGAACGACATTCCAGGCAGGAGGCTGTCCAACAGCTGCTCGAAAAGCAGAGAGAGCAGGGCTGGCCCCCTACCCAGCACAGCCTGCACCCCTCAATGGAGTAGGCTGGCTAGGAAAAGCATAGATGGGTCTGAATTTCTGAAAATAAATCAGACAGGGGGACCTAGAGCTAGCCAAAATCCTGCAGGGACCCCCGGCAGCACAGTCTAGCATAAGAGCAAGCATAAGGGACCGAGGCCAGCACTCACATAAGCCGACCCGGCACCTGGGCAAGTGCTTCTCTTTGTTAAATTTTTGGTGTCATATAAGCATGTTCCTGGCTCCTTTCAGAGATCTGACAGCAAAGACCTGAAGGAAGAGTTACTGGAAAGGGGCTGGAGTGATAGTACAGCGGATAGGGCAGTTGCCTTCCACGCAGCCGATCCAGGTTCGATTCTCAGCATCCCATATGGTCCCCCAAGCACTGCCAGGAGTAATTCCACTGTGCATCGCCAGGTGCGACCCAAAAGCGGGGGAGGGGGAAGCTAATGGAAATTAAAAATAAAAAGTGTGTGTGGGGAGGGGGGTGGGGAAGGGGCAGGGTCAGACAGGAGTCTATTGTGTGGGGGGTCCCAGGGTTGACCAGCTTCAAGTCAGGAGAAAGATCCCCTTCATGCCCAGCGCCGCAGTGGAGTGACCTATGAAATGAGGACAGTGAGGACAGGTGACAAAATGGTGACATCTACAGGTACATAAGGAGATACCTGTAAAATAATGCACATGAAAGGTGAACAATGGGGGGGGCCACAGAGATATTACAGTGGGTAGGGTGCTTGCCTTACCCAAAGCAACCTGGGTTCAGTCCCTGATACCCCAACATGGTCTCCGAGCACCTCCGGGAGTAAGTCTTGAGCACATCCAGTTCTAAGCAAGGTCAAGTGCGGTTCAAGCTCTACCCCCACCTCCCATCCCCGACTTCTGCCAAAAGACAAGGTTGACTGAGCAGTAGCTAGTGGCAAGAACAACCCTTCTGAGGCCAGTCACACAGGAAGAGTGTGAGGATCTCGGAGGACAAGGCCGGGAAATACCGCTTGTGATCTACCTCTGCTCAAACATCCTTGGGCTTCACTGTGTGGAGCTCAGGGCTAGTCCGAGGACATGCGGAAGACAAGCCCCATTTTGTAAAGCCACCAGCTGCAAAAGCAGCACTGGCAAATGAGCCAGGTTTAGGTTCATTTAGATCCATTAAAAACATACATCTCCGGGCTGGAGCGATAGCACAGCAGGCAGGGCATTTGCCTTGCATGCGGCCGACCCGGGTTCAATTCCCAGCATCCCGTTATGGTCCCCCGAACACCATCAGTAGTAATTCCTGAGTGCAGAGCCAGGAGTAACCCCTGTGCATTGCCGGGTGTGACCCAAAAAGCAAAAAAAAAAAATAAATAAAATAAAAATAAAAACATACATCTCCTGGAAAACCAGAGGATTATGCATCAAAAGCACGAAAACTGGGACCAGGGAGATAGTTTAAAACTCTCTGCCCATGCTTTACATGCCTGAGTGCAGGGCTGGATCCCTGACTACAAAGCACCATGCCAGGGACTCCTGAGCACCGGAGCGTAGGGAAAAAGAAGGGGGATGGGCAGACCTGAGATTCTTGGCAATTTTGTAATTTGGAGGGAGGGGCACAAAGACCTATGCTCAGGCTTACTCCTTGTTTAGCACTCGGGGATCACTCCTGGCAGGGCTCAGGGGCCATACATGGTGCCAGAAATCGAACCCAGGTGGGCTGTGTGCAAGCCAAGCACCCTACCCACTGGACTATGGCTCCAGGCCCCCTTTCATTCACCTTTTATATGCCTTATTTTATAGGTACCTCCACTGTTGCATGTAGGTGCCATGTCCCCCACTTACCTGCTGTACTATCACTCTGGCTCCTATGAACATATATTAATTAAAGAAACAAAAACAGACACATTTTAAAAGACAGGTCAAGATTCCTGGCTAAAAAAAAAGGAGGGGGGGAGAAATTGCAAGAATATCCTTATGTGGGGGCTGGAAAGATAGCACAGCAGGTAGGGTGTTTGCCTTTGCACGTGGCCAACCTGGGTTCGATTCCCAGCATCCCATATGTTGCCCCAAGCACAGCCAGGAATAATTCCTGAGTGCATGAGCCAGGAGTAACCCTTGTGCATCGTTTGGTGTGACCCCCTCCAAAAGAAAAGAATATCCTTCTATTAGTTCTTCAAAAGAGGTGTTTTTCTTGGCATCAGAATATAAAATGGAGAAAGCACACTCATGAGCACACTAAACATGTCCTAAAAAATGTTCTTCCAGAAATGCAGACGCTGCAGGACATGGTATCTTCTAAAAATCTGACTCAGAAAGGAAGGAGTGAGGAGTGGCCAAACTCCACTGCTGGCCAAGGGCTCTGGCTTCAGCCAAGAACAACTGTACCCCAGGGAGATCCCTTGCAATGATTGGAGATTGTGTGTGTGTTGGGGTGGGGGGGTCAGAGCAGGGGTGCTGTGTAATCTAATAGTGGATGGAGACCAGGAATGCTGCTAAACACTCTATGAGCACAAGATGATCCCCACCCCAACCCCGGCCCCACTCCCATCCCCAGTCAAAGTTTATCTGCCTCAAAATGCCCATAGTGCTGACGTTGAGAAACTGTCCAGGGCACAGAGCCAGCATCTCTATCAGAAAGGTAACCTGAGACCAGAGTTGATTGCAAAAGTTTCTGCCCCCATGCCCCAGGCTCTGGAATTAAAAACAAGAGTCTGCAGTGGGCCAGCTGTGAATGTCTGTCCGACATCTACCGTAGCGGCAGATGAGCTGCCCACCAGGAGAACGGGGCCAGTACTGTGCTGCCTGTCACAAAGCCAGGCCTATGGAACTTGACGCAGGGTAAATATTATCATACTGAACTTTTCCATCTTGGATGGATTCCCTTCCACCAGCCACTAGACATCACTGAAGCGGAAGTCGGAAGTCTTGCTCCCCCATTTGATGAAAACCTTGTTTTATCACATTTGTGTTCCCAAGCGCCTCTCCCCTCCAGGGTCTGGCATTGCACCTGCACATGGCAAGCGCAGGGCAAAGGCAAACTCAACTCACACCTTCAAGAGGCGTCCACCTATGGAACCGGGAGGTAATACAGCACGTAAGCACACATCTGGACCAGGTTGGATCCCCCGCATCCCATGTGGTCCAGTGAGGGCCGTCAGGACTGATTCCTGAGTGCAGAGCCAGGAATAAGTCCTGAGCACCACCAGGTGTGACACCTCCCCCCACCGCAAAAAAAAAAAAAAAAAAAAGAGGCATCCACCCAGGGTCTGAGATGGGTCCTCTTGGCGCCCAGCGAAAGGTCTACCAATGGGACCACGCTGACGGGGGTTGCTAGGGTCTCATCTGGTGAAAAAGCCTCTTTTCCTCTTCCATGGACCTCCAAATCCCATCCCCACTCAGAGGACACCCCACTGTTGAAACGCACCTGCTGAGTCAATCTTTGGGTCATTAATTAACTCTAACATCACACAGCTCAGCAGAGAAGACGGAGGTCACAATCCCAGGGTGAAGTAAACAAGATGAAAGTTGGGGGCTTGGGGGGGCAAGGGGGAGCGCTGCCCAGCTTAGGAAGGGACAGCAGACACATTGATCCACAATTCACCAAACTGTGAGCTCTGGGCCTAGGAATCCAGAGTGTGTGTGCGCGCACGCGCGTGTGTGTTTACCCACACACACTGAGGCTTGCAAATCTGGCTTTGCTAGGCAGCTCCAGGTCAAAACTGCACCTCACTTCCCCCCCCCCCCCCCCTTTTGGATCACACCCAGCGATGCACAGGGTTTACTCCTGGCTCATGCACTCAGGAATTAGTCCTCTCGGTGCTGGGGGACCATATGGGATGCTGGGAATCGAAGCCGGGTCAGCCGGGTGCAAGGCAAATGCCCTACCTGCTGTGCTATCGCTCCAGCCCCTGCGCCTCACTTTCTTTATCTGTAATTTGGAAGAGTAACACCCGGCACACTTTAGTTTAACTGCAAGTGATGATGATGATGACAACTCCCATGTTGAACTCACTTCACATGTCCGAAGTCGTTAATCGCTGCCATGCCCCATGCCAAGCACAGGGTGAGCACTCCCTAAGTAACATCCCTCCCTCCAGAAGAAAGGAGTCCCCGCGACCAGAGAAAGTACAGCCCTCAAGGTAGCTTGCCTTGCATTTGGCTGACCCGGATCCCATGCGCGCCACGGCGGCACTGGGTACCCAAGCACTGACCCAGGAGAGAGCCCTGCGCACGGCCCCAAAAATCAACTAAACAAACGAAAAGAGAGGAGTCCCCTTTCTAACCAACTTGGGAATCGGGGAAGAGAAACAAACGTTCGAGATTCCTGCAGAAAGAGACGTGAGGGGAAGCGAGGTCCGGGCGCCCCGCGTGTGGGCGCGGCGTGCGGGCCGGAGAGAAGCGGAGCGCGCCGAGCAAAGGGACCAAAGCGTGCGCGGGGCCGGGCGGACGTGGGGCACCCGGCGTGCCCCGGGAACTTCCCATCCGGAGGCTCCTTCCTGCCCTGAGCGGTCCCGGGCTACCACTCAGGAGAAATGGAGAGATTCCGAGAAGGAAGGTGCGGGGAGGAGCTGCGGGCACCGGCCAGGGAAGGATCCCGGCGGTCCTGGGGCCCTTCCAGGGGATTCCCCGGTCCCCCTACCAGCAGGCACTCCTTGGGCCCTTCCCGGCGGTTACCGGACCCCCTGCCAGCAGGTGCCCCTAGAGCTCTTGCCGGCGGTTCCCGGGACCCTCTGCCAGCAGGTGCCGCTTGGGCCCTTCCCGGCGGTTCCCGGGACTCCCTGCCACCAGGCGCCCCTTCCCGGCGGTTCCCGGGCCCTCCCGGCAGAGGGACTCACCCAGCCCCGTTCCAGGGGCGGGCCCGCAAGGCGCAGCGGAGCGCGGGCAGCGGCATCCCGACCCTCGGCGCAGCAGCGTGTGGCCCGGCCCGGCCCGCCCCGGCGCCCGCTGACGTCGAGGCCCCGCCCGGACCACACCACCTCGGTTGGCGGGGGTCCGGGCCAGCCCTGCCGCCGTCCCTCGCGGCGGGGACAGCCGGAATATGCCACCGCCGCTGCCGCAGGATACTATTAAAGCCTTTTTTTCAAATGCTTAACGCCAGCCTCCGTGTGATTCGGGACAAAGCCGTCCCGAAGAGCAGCCTGGGGACTCGCGTCTCCCCCTTCTTCCCCGATGGTGCGGCCCGATGGCCCTCCGGGGACCGCGGGAGGAGAGGGCGTGAGCCCCGTGGGCCAATCAGCGCGACCCGTGCAAGTTTCTGGGCCAATCAGAGGCGTGGTCAAGTTGCAGCCTTCGAAGGCCGCGGAGTGGCTGGGGGGTCGGCGGGGATGTTTCAGGTGGGAGGAGCCCCATGCCAAGCCCTAAGGGTGCCGCGTCGAGGTGCCCCGGGGGCTCGGGCTGGCCACGCTTGTCTGCCCTTGGCACTGACGGCTTCCAGAGGCTTCGCCGCGTGCCTCGGGGATGCCGCCGCCGGGAGGAGCCTTCTCGTCCTGCAAGGACACCTGCGAGTCTGCACTGGGGCCGCCCAGCTGCCCGGGCCTGCCTGGCGCCCGCGCGGTGGAGCCCCACTATGCTTGGCTTTACCTTCAAAGTCTCTATTGCAGCTGAGGTCTTGTTTGTTTTATTTTGTTTGCTTTTTTTTTTTTAACTCCCTAGATGAAAATTTGTTTTCTCTTGGAGAAGTTGTTTGATGGTAAAAGCTTGAGTGCCTTTCGAAGCTTCTAGTTCTGGGGCTGGAGCCATAGTACAGCGGGTTGGGGTAGGGTGTTTGCCTTGCACGCAGCCGACCCAGGTTCAGTCCCTGGAATCCCATATGGTCCCCCGAGCACCACCAGGAGTAACCCCTGAGTATTGCTGGGTGTGACCCAGAAAGCAAATATGTGTGTGTGTGTGTGTGTGTGTGTGTGTGTGTGTGTGTGAATTCTTCCAGAGTATTAGGGACCCATTTCATTCCCCCAACGGACTGTTTAAGAGTTTTTCTAACATTCTAACTTGCTGTTTAAGAGCTTTACTAACATTCTAACATTCTCTTCTAACTTACCTATTTCTCTTTCTCTGGCATTGTGGACTGAGAACCTGCTTAGGAGATAGAAATTCTGATGTTGCACATGATCTCTCCCTGCAACATTGGCAAAATAATTTCTCTGCACCTCGGTTTCCATGTCTGTAAAATGGGGGTAATTTACCCACCTTACAATGCCCCCATAATTTCTTGCTATTGCTGTTTCTTTAAAAGGTCACATTCTTTAAAAATTATGAGGATTCATGGGGCCCAAGAGAGAGTATAGGGGTCAGGCACTTGCCTTACATGCTTCTGATCCGGGTTTCATTCTTCTCACTGCATAGGGTTCCCTGAACACTGCCAGAGTGATCCATGAGCACTGCTGGTTGTGCCCCACAAAACCCAGGGGGAGGAGAGAGCAGAGAGATAGTACAGCAGGTAGGACACTTGCCTTGCATGTAGCCAACCCAAATTAGATCCCTGACACCCCTTATGGTCCCCCTGAGCACCACTAGGAGTGATTTCTGAGTACAGAGTCAGGAGTGATCCCTGAGTGTTGCAGAGTGTGGTCCCCAAACCAACAAACAAAAACCCTTGGGATCAGGAGAAGACACTGGAGAATTTTGAGTTGGGAGGGTGGAAAGGAAATTACATGGAGTGTCCGTAGAGATGGTAAGAATTACATCGGGGTGGGGGGCTGGAGAGATAGCACAGTGGGTAGGGTGTTTGCCTTGCACGCAGCCGACCCGGGTTCGATTCCCAGCATCCCATATGGTCCCCTGAGCACCACCAGGGGTAATTCCTGAGTGCAGAACCAGGAGTAACCCCTGTGCATCACCGGGTGTGACCCAAAAAGCAGCAAAAAAAAAAAAATTACATTGGGGTTGCTGGTTATTTCTCTTTGTTCTCACCCTGGGATGGGGGCGAGGGGTGGGGGTAGGCAGGAATTGAGTAGCTCCTGAACACCCCACAGGGCCTAAGCAGAACCACATCCTTGACCTCTGGCTCTGAACCTCTGGCCCAGTTGGCTAAATATGACCAGAGTAGCCCCTAGCTACCTCCCTGGGTACCATTTGGGAGCTCCCCTCAAAGTGATCCAGGGGGTGAGCATAGGGTCAAGGCATAGAGGCCCTAGTTCATCTGAGTACCTCATGATCCTTACCCCAGCCCTCAGAGGACCCCGAGCCCCACAGGAGTAGCCCTGATGCGGGGTCCAAGTAGCACCGCATCCTGGGGACCTCGCATTGAGCCCTCAGTCCCTTTAGCCAAGTATTGCAGGGAGCGCCCCTTCCCCACCCCCTGTGCACTGCCCCCTCTGAAAAATAAACCCTGAAGGAGGGGCAGCTCACGTGGGGCAAAATCTTACTGAATTTGTTCACGTACCAGAACCTGGAACACAGGACAGTGTCAAATCCAGAAGCTCAAGAGACGGCGGCTTGTGGGCACTGCCAGGGAGTTTAAAAAGGGGAGGGGCTGGAGCGATAGCACAGCAGGTAGGGCGTTTGCCTTGCACGCGGCCAACCCAGGTTCGATTGCCAGCATCCCATATGGTCCCCCACGTACCACCAGGAGTAATCCCTGAGCATTGCTGGGTGTGATCCAAAAAGTAAAAAAAAAAAAAGAAAGAAAGAAAAACGGGGGGGTCTGATTCCCTCCGAAAAAAAAAAAAAGAGAAAAGAAGTGAGGTGTTTGGGGTTATGGGAATGGCGCAGTGACTCAAAGGCTATTTGTCTGATTCCCTGTGCCAGCTGATGCGCTGATCCCAGCAGTTGTGTCCAGCAGTTGTGTCCAGCACCTCTTTCCCCGGAACAGCAGTGCAGGATCTCCAGCGCCCAACCAGATGTGTGTGAGCAGGAGCAGAGCCTGCTGCCGCTGGGGAGCACCATGGCCGAGCACCGTGGTTGAGTGTCTGCAGCAGCACCAAGTCTGCACGATCCAGGCACAGTGAAATGGGCGTTATGTCTACCAGGACCCCAAGTCCCAGTTAGGCTGTGTCAGTCTGTGCCTCCCTGGCACTCTCTCCTCCTGTCACATGTGTGATGGATAACTCCTGCTTCATCTTCTCCCAGAGATTTCACTGGGAGAGGGAAACCTACCAGGTGATGTGAAATTTCCCTCCTATGAATCAAAAGATCTGAAAGCTAGAGCAGGGGAGGGAAGACCCTCTCTGCTCAGGGCCAGTCCCAGTGTGGTCCCCAGCACCACATAGGGCCCCCGAGCACTGCTGGGAGTGTTCCATGAGCACAGAGCACCCAGGGAATCTTTGCAGCCTCTGAGCACCACCATGTGAACACCACCACCCCCCAGCTAATTAAAGTGTATATGCGGCTCTCTGACTCCAGCCCCCATCCCCATTTATCATATATATATATGTATATATATATATATATTTGGGCTCAAGTGATAGCAAAGCGGGTAGGGTGTTTGCCTTGCAAGTGACTGACCCGGTCAACCTGAGTTTGATTCCTCCACCCCTTTTGGAGAGCCCGGCAAGCTACCGAGAGTATCTCACCCACATGGCAAAGCCTGGCAAGCTCCCCGTGACGTATTCGATATGCCAAACACAGTAACAACAAGTCTCACAATGGAGACATTTCTGGGCCTGCTTGAGCAAATCGATGAACAACGGGAGGACAGTGCTACAGGACAGTGCTATATATATTAAAAAACGAAAAAGACACCATCATTTCTAAGACATTTCACTTTATTGAAAAGAAGCCAATATACAGGATATAAAGGGCGTGATATTTACAACAGTACAGTAAACAGGTTGGTGTCTGGTAGAGCAGCAGTCTTTCTGAGAGTAGAAACCCCGCCGACCAACAGCAAGTGGGTGAAATAAGACAGTGGGATAGAAAGATTCCCTGGGTGCGGCTGAAAACCACGCGGGTGCTAAAATGTCCATGTCCTGGGAGTGGGGAGTGGCCTCAGCTGCATCGCGGAGGGCATGGCGGAGGGTTTCTCCAAGGCTATCCCCAAGCCCAGCCTGAGCCTGGAAACCCTCCAGAGAGCCCTGGCTTGACCCGTTTCCCCCCAGCCCCATGCCCATCCAACACACACACACACACACCTGCACCAGACTCTTCTTCTAGAAGAATCCCCTTCTAAAACCAGCCTGAGGAGCGAAGGGGAGGGCCCAAGAAAGCCCCCAGCACCCCAGTTCCACTTCCAGGAAGACAAGGACATTCTCAGGGCCTCTGAGACTGGCTGTAGCCGCCTGGCCCCCTTGCTGGCTGCTCCGTGGCACCCACATGGCCACCGCTCAGCACTGTGGACATGGGCAGATCTGGGCCGACCTGTGTTCTCCTCCCCTCTCCTTGATAACTCCCTCAGTCCACCCACTCCCACAAATACCTTTGCCTAGGTGAGGGTGAGGGCGGGGGCCCAGGGAGTGAGAAGGAGGATGAGGTGGGGCCCGTGTGCCGTTGCGGCCACTCATGGGTGTGGGTGAGCAGGCGATGGGGACCAGGAGAGGGGTTGAGAGATCCTGATTATAGTAAATTCAGCAGCAACATGCAGCTTGACCACAGAAAAACGCTGGGTACCGTGACTGCCAACCAGAGATTTTTAAAAAACCTTTCCTTTCATAAAAATAGATGAGAGTCTCTTGCTTTATAAATAGATACATTTAGCTTAAGTTACCTTAATATTACCCCCTCCCACCACAAGCCCTCTCCCCCCATCCCAAGCCAGAGTGGTTTGATTCTTCCCGGGTTACCCTCCAAGTCAGGAAGACATATTGCCATAAGAAAACAAAAAAGTGTTCACTTGTCATGTCCCCCCGCCCCTCCGGCCTCCCAGGGCCGAGTGTGTGTGTGTGTGAATGAGTGCGTGAGTGCGGGCGTGTGTGTGCGTGTGTGTCGGTTCCACGAGGGAGCTGTGCTCCCTGGCCCAACCCAAGCCTCTCCTCATAAGATCCCCCGAAACAGGAGGGTGAGAGAGGACAGGGAGTGGGAGTCCATCTGAGGATAGCTATAAAATACCAGTGTCAATATGACACCAGACTGAAGAATAGAAAAGCAAACTGAACTATTTACAGCATGACCAAGGACGGGCCAGCTGGCACCAACTGGACCCGCCCCAGTAAGGGTTGGGGTCTTTCTTGGCAAGCTGTGGGCTCCAGCCCAGGGGGACAACAGGGTTCCCACTGGTGTCTAGCTCAAAGAGAACTTGGGGAGGAAAGCAGCATGGCCAAGACCCAGGAACCCGTGCCCAGGCGGTGGGTGGGCTACACCGTCACCATCTCCTCCCCACTTAGCCCCCCATCTCAGCCCCTCCTCGACAGAGCAGCGAGCCCACACCCGCAGGAAGCAGCAATCTGGCCAGTTGCCAAATTCCGAGTAGCCCAGCTGCCAAAGACCCATACCCTTTGTGTCCTATTAGGAGAAAAACAAAATGAATACCACCAGACGCCTGTCCCCATGGGTCATCTTGGTGACCTTCAAATGCACAGTTGCTGACTGTCTTAACTCTTAAGATAGACTAGTCACGCCCCCTCCCCACCGCCTGCATGAACAACCCGGGCGCCTGCACCCCTTCGAGGCCTCCCACGGCCCTAGGTGGGGGACACCACCTTGGTGGCCATTTTTCTGGCCACCGGAACGGAAATTCTTCCCGGCAACGGAAACTCTTTTCAGCAGCTGAGGTCCAAGCCCAACTGGCTCTGAAAACCTTTGGTTAAAATCAGGAGATGCTAAAACAATAACTATAATAATAATAATAATAATCAGGTGAGGTCTGGACCCTGAAACCTTTAGATCAAGGGTGTGGGCATGGGGGAGGGGATGGGGCTGTCTCTCCTCCATTCACTGTCCCAGGGACCCCTGGGGTATAAGAGCTACTAGGAGCGGAGGTCTCTCAGTGACATGCCCCACCGCCACCCCATAACAGTCAAAAAAGGAGAAAAAACTCACAAGAAAGGCCACCCAGTTCTGATAAATAAAAATCACATGCATAACATACTCTCTCTCTTCTCTCTCTCTATATATATTATACGAATATTATATACAACGGTTTTAAGACAGCAAAACAGAAAATGGAAAAGAAGGTCCTTACAGGTCGCTGGCTGATACCCTGGGAGCCACTGTCTGACTCAAAGCCAATGCCCCCACGGCCCCTCAACTCTGGCGGATGCACCATGGTCCCTGGGCACATTTCACTGTGACCTCCAGGGGGAGCTCCTGGACCAACAAAAAATAGACCAGCCATCACTCTAGGACACTGGGGACAACAAAAAAGATTTTTTTTTAAAAAAAAGGCAGAGAGAGAATGAGAAAGAAAGAAAGAAAGAAAGAAAGAAGGAAGGAAGGAAGGAAGGAAGGAGGGAGGGAGGGAAGGAAGGAAGGAAGGAAGGAAGGAAGGAAGGAGGGAGGGAGGGAGGGAGGGAGGGAAGGAAGGAAGGAAGGAAGGAAGGAAGGAAGGAGGTAAGGAAGGAAGGAAGGAAGGAGGGAGGGAGGGAGGGAGGGAGGGAGGGAGGGAAGGAAGGAAGGAAGGAAGGAAGGGAGGGAGGGAAGGTGGGAAGGAAGAGAAAGGAAAGAAAGAAAGGAAAAAAGGAAGGAAGGAGGGAAGGAGAGAAGGAGGGAAGGAAGGAAGAGAGAAAGGAAAAAAGAAAAGAAAAAAAAAACCACAGTCAGGCCAGCTCCACGCCGAGACTGGGCAGGTGGTCTCACCCCAGTGCCCTCTGACTCAGGTAAACTCAAGTCCTAGGGAGATACCGGCTTAGATGAGCCTCCCAAGTGGTCCATCAAGTGCACTGTGCGAAGGGGCTAGCCTGGGTCCAGAGGAGAACCAGGCTGGTTCTCCCTCGGGCAGCAGCTGCCCCAGCTACAGCCCACCAGCAACCCTTCCTAGCACATGCCCTCACCCACCCCCTTCTTATTCCAGCTCGTGTCCACACAGGGGGAGAGGAGCGGGGAGATGGACAGCATCCCACCAGCACAGCCAGCGGCCGGCCAACACCAACCACCAACCTAGCCCCCACTGCAGCAGGGGGTGGGGACCGGGCCCGACCCTTCAAGACCTGCTCACAGAAAAATGAAGAGCTACATAGAACCTAGACTGTCAGCTGGGGAGAGGAAATCATCAAGTCATTGTGGCAAAGACACCCCCACCCCCACCTCCCAGAGGAACCACAGAGATGGGCAGGCGAAGGGCCCCACAGGACCAGACCTGGCCATTGACCATTCTAGAACCCCACTTCCCCAGCTCTGGGTCCCTGGGGCTCTGGGTCCCTGGGCGGCTAGGATTGCCCCTGCATTGTCTTCCCTCAGGGGCTCGGGCTCGCTGGGGAGGAGAAACCCGCCATCTGGGAGAAAGCCTGCCCCCCACAGTGAGATAAGGCGAGCTGCTTTTGTTTGCTTGGGGTTTTTTTGTTTGTTTTTGTTTTGTTTTGTTTTTTTGCATAGTAGTTTAAACACAGTGAAGCTCCACCTTCCCCCCCCCCCCCGCCCCCGCCCAACAGTGCCTTGTCCCTCCGCTGCCTTGCCACTCAATCCAAAAAGAAAAGAAGATTTTGTCTTCCCTCCCTCCTCCCATCTCTCCCTCCTCAAATACCTGAGCGATCCCCACTCAGGCACCCGAAAGGTTGCAGAAGCAAATAGCTCCTGCCCGGGCTGGCTGGAGGTGGGGGTTGGGGGGGCGGCCACAGACCACCCCAGACTCTCAGCTCCTTGGGAGCTGTCTGGCAGAGGAAGGGAGGTCACGGCCAATCAGAGGAGCAGGTGGGAGGGTCAAAAGCCGAAATGATGCCAAGCTCAGGGGTCCCCCCTGCCTTACAGTTTTGTATAAAAACACCTGCTAGGAATAATTCTTTGGAGCTCAACGTGGCTCAGCTTAAGGGAAAAGGCACAGTCCCCACTGCATCGTCCGGACAGAAGTCAGCATCTGTGATGTGGAGAATAGAAATTGACAGCACCATTCCGTGGGGGAGGGGACGGAGAAGGGACACTGGCTGGCGGTGGGTGGGAGGAGGGAAAGAAGGAAGCAGCGGTCCCTCGGCCTCCGGAGAAGGGAGGACAGAGAAGTCTGTGGGGTGGACACTGGCGCCCCACTCGGAGAAGCCTTCCTGGCCCCCCGGGGAGAGGGGCCGGAGGCCTGGTCACCAAGGCCCCTGGGCACGGAGGGCGCGTCCGTCATCAGCTGACCATGGGCTCCACGTCTGCCTCCCGCTCAAACTCGTCCTGGATCTCGTCTGTGCTTCCCGAGTCGCTGCTGGCCACGGAGCTGGGGGAAGGCGAGTTCCTGGAATTGGGAGAGGGCAGCGTCAGAGGGCAGCCCGAGCAGAGTGGGAACGGCTGACCCACTCCCATTACGTTGGAAACCCACACTGCGAGCCTTCTTCCCCACCCCACCTCCGCGCTCTGCTTTCTCAGAACTTCAAGGCTCCGAAGTGGGACTCAGTTCTGGAGAATGCCCAGGCCCAGCCTCTTGCTTCCCTGGAAGCAGGGAGCGCAGCTCAAGCTCAATTCGCACCCTCTAATCTGGGGAGGGGTGGACGACAGGGGCTGGTCAGAGCTTAAGGTCAGACATGCTAAATTTCAGCATGTCTGATATGAAAAAATAAAGGCCAGCAGGTGTAAAGTCACAAAGAACTAAGACGATGAAGGTGCCATGAAGGTGCCTGATGCCGGGGTGTGTTTGTGCTGAGCATTTCAACACAGGGTAACTGTTACTGTTACTATTCTCTTGGTAGCTGTTACTGTTACTGTTCTCTCTGTGTACCCTTCTCCCGGGGCTACCTGTGCTTTGAAGGCAGTGGCTCTGTGTTCTGATGGGGCATTAGTCTCCCATTAAGGTTCTTGCCTCCCTGGGCTCCCCACTGCCCCACTCTCCACCCCCCACCCCAAACCCCAGCGGGCCTTTCACAGGGAGCTGCTGAAAGGGCGGGGCAGGGTTGTTGCAGGAACTACACAAGGTTAGCAGATAAGTTGTCTAGCGCATAGCAGGTGGATGGAGAGATGGAGGTATGTACGGAGGGTGGGACAGATGGATAGATGCTTGATGGATGGATGATTAGATAGATGGCAAGACAGATGAACAGGCAATGGGATCAATGACAGATGATGGATGCAAGAAAAAATGGACAAATGGATGGAGGGAGGGAAAGATGGATGGATGGATGGATGGATGGGCGAATGGATGGTGGAATAAAAGATAGATGAAGGATAGGTGGATGAACGAAAGCAGGAAAGAAGAAGAGAGGAAGGGAAGGAGGGAAGGAAGGAGAGAGTAAGGGAAAGAAAGAAAGGAAAGGAAAGGAAGGAAGGAAGGAAGGAAGGAAGGAAGGAAGGAAGGAAGGAAGAAAAGAAGGAGAGAGGGAGGGAGGGAGGGAGGGAGGGAGGGAGGGAGGAAGGAAGGAAGGAAGGAAGGAAGGAAGGAAGGGAGAAAAGGAGGAAGTAAGGAAGGGAGGGAGGGAGGAAAGGAAGGGAGGAAGGATGGAGGAAGGGAGAAAAGGAGGAAGTAAGGAAGGGAGGAAGGGAGGGAGGGAAGGAAGGGAGGAAGGGAGGGGGAAGGAGGGAGGCAGGGAGGGAGGGAGGAAGGGAGGGAGGAAGAGAGAGATGAAGGGAGAGGGAAGGAGGGAGGGAGGGAGGATCCTGGCCGAGCTGCAGGCTGCAGCCCGCCAGCCCCTTGGCCTGCAGGATGTACCTGTCTGCAGAGCCCTTGATGAGGCGCCGGCAGGTCTCCATCTGCACGTCCAGGCCCCGCTTCATGCTGCACATCTCCATGTACTCATGCAAGTGCCGGTTCATGTCGCTCTTGGCCGTGGCCAGCTCCAACTGAGGGGAACCAGAGGGGGACGCGTGAGGCCAAGTCCTCCTCAGTGCGAAGGCACAAGGCCCCCCTGGATGCCCACGGGGCCCTGCTGCATGGGCATTAACCTCCCTTCTGTCCTCTAGGCCCTCTAGGACTGCTTCTGGAGCCTGGGGGCTGGGGTGCATCCCAGGGCCCACCTTTCCTACCGAGCGCCTCCGGGGCACAAGCCCCCCAGCACAGCAGGACAGCGAAACACTCCCTGGCAGATGTCGGCCTGACCCAGGGCCGGGAGCACAGGGAGCTGGGCTTCCAGGCTCCTCCCCAGCTCTGAGGCCCGGGGAGAGTCACTTGATCTCTCTTAGACTCAATTCCTCCCCTGGAAAACGGGGTTCACAGCTAGAGGCACCCAGGAGTTCGGAGACACAGGAAAGGGATCCTGCAAAAGCTCCTCGGTGCCTGGTACCACTCAAATGTCAGCTGGCCCCACTGGGGATCATTTTAGCTGAATAGCTGCGCCAGACAGGGGTGATCCCCTCCACCCATTTCACAGACCTGAGGACTGAGGCCCTGAATGGGCCCCTAGCGAGGAGTCAGCAGGGACTTTCCTGGAAAGTCCCCAGGCCCGGACTCGGGGGGACCTCGAGGGGCTCTGGGGGACGCTCACCTCGATCTGGCCTATGGTCTCCTGGTACTCTTTGTCTCTCGTCTTGAAGAAGGATTCCGTCTCGTGGATCAAGTTGCCCAGGTTCTCCTCCTGCTGGAGACGGAACAAAGGGGACAGGGGAGTGTGAGCTGCGGGCAGGGGTCCTGGGTGGGGGCGAGGGGGATGGGGTGCCCTGGGCGGGGCCGGCGCTCACCTCGCCCTGCAGCTCGATGGACGGGTTGCAGTTGGTGAAGTCCTCCCACAGCAGCAGGGTGTCCTCGTTCTCCTCCCAGGTCAGGCTGTCACAGTCATCATCAAAGTCGAAGGTCTCGCGCCTACAGGGGGGCAAGAGGAGGGCAGGGGTGAGCAGGGCCAGGCTCCAGTCCACAGGGGCACCGTGCCAAGGGCAACCTCTGCCCAAAGAGGACGCTCGCCTCAAGCATGGAATCTGACTCTTAAAAATGCAAAATGCACACAGGTGTTACTTACATATTTTCCTCCCCACATCCATTTTGTGGTTTTTTTTTTGGGGGGGGGGGGTGGTTTGGGTCACATCTGACAGTGCCCAGGGCTTACTTCTGGATCTGTGCTCAAGGATCACTCCCAACAGGGCTTGGGAATCACACCCAGGTGGGCCGTGTGCCCTACCCGCTGTATGATCTCTCCGGACCCAATTCTGTGACATTTTCCTCCACTCATTTACCAGCTTCTGTTGGTGCCACCTGAGCCATATCCGGCAGTGATGGGTGAATGGGGGCTTGTGGTGCCTCAGAAGGCAAGTGCTGTGCCCCTCCAGCTTTCCCTAGGCCCCAAACAGTTCATCTCTCGCTCTGTCTGTTGTCTGTCTGTCTGTCTGTCTGTCTCTGTCTCTCTCTCTCTCTTTTGGTGGAGGCAGGGTCGTAGGAGTTCCCAAGCAGTGCTCAGTGGAGTCTTGGATCCTCATCCTCCCCCGGCTCCAGCCAGTGAATGTCTCTGCCTCTGACAGCCTCCCCCGTGGGGCCTCCAGATTCACTGGAGGCTCTACCAGTGAATCTCCACCAACCTAGCTGGGGACTCAATAGAAGGCCCAAGGAGGCAGAGCTGCTCTGGCCACCCCAACAGTTCTGTAGGCCTCCAGGGCTGGGCCTGGCAGTGCTCAGGGACCATGTGGTGCCAGGAATCGAACCCGGGTCAGATGCATAATGGGCACGTGCCCTAACCACTGTGCTATTCCCCTCACTCCACCCCAACAATACTTTTTTTTTTCTGTTTTGTTTGTTTTACCCCCAGCTGTGCTCAGGGGTTACTCCTGGCTCTGTACTCAGGAATCACTCCTGGTGATGCTCGGGGGAACAATGGAGGATGCCGGGGATAGAACCTGGGTCAGCCACATGCAAGGCAAATGCCCTTCCCACTGTCCTAACGCTCTGGTCCCCCATCAATTCATTTCTTGCACCCTGACTAGACCTGAGGAGCTTTTCTGCCATCTTCTGTGGGGGGGGACGTTACTGTTCCCACTCAGTAGCTGAGGAAACTGCAGTTCAGAGAGAGTCTGTCATCATGCTGCCAGCCTGGGGCAGAGTCCGGGCCAGAAGCCAGCTCTTTCTGCTTCCTACAGCTCTGTCCCCCTCATCCAAACACCACCACGCACTCGTGTGCACTGGCACAGGATAGATCTCCAGGCATGGATGTGAATGTTCTTTCTTTCTTTCTTTCTTTCTTTCTTTCTTTCTTTTTTCCCTTTGTCTTTTTTGGGTCACACCTGTTTGATGCACAGGGGTTAATTCCAGGCACTCAGGAATTACTCCTGGTGGTGTTCGGGGTCCATATGGGATGCTGGGGATCAAACTTGGGTCAGCCGCGTGCAAGGCAAACACCCTTCCTGCTGTGCTACATCACTGCAGCCCTGTGCATGCACTCTAGGCCCATCCTCACAACCACCCACTGAGGTGAGTGCAGAATCTTCCCATCTTACAGGTGAAGAAACTGATGCCCAGAGAATGCCTCTGAGCTTTGCACACAAAGCCCGAGTCTGCATCTTGGGCTTCCCTACCCTGGGAGTAGGCAAGTTGGGTCTTCTGGGGAACGGGGGCTTCCCAGAGACACACGGGTCACCCCAAGTGGAGGGGATCCTCACAGTCCCACATGCCCAGGCCTGCGGCCCCACGGGGGAGGCTGTCAGAGGCAGAGACATTCACTGGCTGGAGCCGGGGGAGGATGAGGATCCCAAGACTCCAGCTTCCCTGGCTAGGGCCTGCCTTGCTGTCTGCCCCTGGGCGTTGCCCCAAACAGTGGGTCAGGCGATGGGCTATTGAACAGGAAGCAAGTCCCAAGCAAGAATTTGTGCCATTCAGCTGCCTGGCAGTGGTTTGCAGCCTTGGGCCTGCAGGAGAGAAAAACTGAAAACCCCTAGTTGGGAGCACCCTGGGAGCCAGGTCCCCACTGAAAAGCAGCTCCTGCCAGGACCACCAGCAGAAGACTCAGCCCTGGAACCCGAGCAAGGGGCAGGGAGCAGCCGAGGGCAGAGCTGATCACATACACCTCACCACATAGTGAACCGCTGACTTCACTTCCTTCCCAGAGGCCCGGCTCTGGCGGGGAAAGGCCAGTGGAGGAAGCGGAGCCAGTGAGGACAGGAAGACAGGGACCAGAGCGAAGCTTCCAAGGCGGCCTGAGCCCCACTGATCGGGAGGGCAGGGCCTCAGCACCGGACAGCAGCCAACCCCTCCTCTCCTCCTTGGTCAGGAGCCTGGACCACTGATTTGGCTCAGAACAAAAGCAGCCCAGACACGGAGGGCCTTAATCAGACTTCAGTGGAACCGGCCAGGGGCAGGCCTGAGGCGTGGGCCTCAGCCGGCTTTAGCATTGATGTCAGTGGGAGACCGAGGCCGCCTGGGGTGGAGCTGGTGGGGGCCCTTGGCTGGGACTGCAGGGGTGGGGTGAGACGAGTGTTTTCTTTTCAATGAATGAAGGCAATGTTAAAGCAGATAAATCTATCCGGCCGGAATCCTGTCAGCACTCGGGGGCTTCTATTTCTGTGGCAGCCAAGTGAGCTTTGGGACGTGGAGCACCACTGCGGAAGCCTCCACCTCACGTTCCCCCATGCCCTGACTGCTCTGGGGGGCCTCTCTTGCAGCTGCACCCTTTCCTGGGCACCCGGATTCTCCCTAGGAAATGGGGGCTGTGGGCCCCCCAGAGAAACCCTGTAACTCCACCACGATCCTGCCTTAGGTTCGGGGATGCTCAAGACAGTGTTCAGAGAACCAAGACCCAGTGCTGGGTTCTCGTCCTTCTCATTCCCCCCAAAGATGAGACTATCACGGGGGCACGGGGAAGAGGGGACAGAAATCAAGAACCTCTGTCACGTTCAAATAGCAACCCCTCCCCACACCCCCTTTGGCTGCCAGCTGGCCCAAAGCAGCCCCATCTCAGTTCTGTGTCAAGGGAAATGGGGCAAGGGGGTGTGATAGGGAATGGATTCCACGGGGAGCGGGGTTGGGGGAATCTGAATCACTGAAGCCAGACCAGGCAAACACGTATCAGCTTCTGAAAGCATGGGGGGGGGGGTCCCAGCCCCGTCCAATCAGCATGAGAAGGGGCTCCAAGGCCATTTCCCCTCTGTGCCGTCTGCAAGGGTTCCCCTCCCTTGAGACAGTCAGGACATCCTGTTTAGGAGGCTGCCAGGGAATGTCCCTTGGCCAGTGTGCTGTGGGTCCCGGTGACGGTCCCACGTGGCTGTCCCAGTCTCAGGGAAACCCATGTAGGGGAGCATGGGGTGGGGGTGGGGGGGGGGCCTGTCGCTTGATCGAGAGCTTCCCTAAATACCCCCACCATGCCCACCTGGCCCTTTCTGAAAACATGAACTTCCCAAGTGTTGAACATTCCCGGGACTCTCAGTGCTGGCCTCTCAGCTAAGTCGAGCCCCTCTGCAGACGCCCGTCGTCGGCGCACCCCTAGTCCATCTCCCCAGGTCCCCGGAGCGGGCGCACTCACAGCTGGTTAAACATGCGCTTCATCTCATCGGTGATGTTCATGGAGCCGACCTCGTCGTCCGAGAACCGCGTCACCTCCCCCTCCTGCTCCGACGAGTCCTCCTCCGATGTCACCTTCCGTTCTTTCTTCTTGGGGACTACCTGCTCCGGAAAGAGAGACCCAGGAGTCACTCGGGGTGGGGAGAGGGTTCCTGCAGGGATGGATGGAGTCCGCGCCTCCCGGGGATGGATGGATGGGATGCTGCTCGGTGCTGGGAGGAAGCGCTGGGCCTCGAGGGAGCAGGTGGCGTGAGCAGGAAGCATGAGAGGCTGGGCATGCGGGATGGGGGTCCCCGATGGCCCGCTCCCTCCCCCGCTGGGGCCACGTCAGCGCTGCCGCTCCCTTCACTAGAGAAGCCGCCCCTCGGCCTTGGGGAGAGGACAAGGCGAGGCTGGAGCCCACAGAAGCAGCATGGGGTGCTCCCGGGCCAGCCAGGCAGAGACACCCTGGCTCTGCCATCTTCCCACTTGCAGGCTGAGGCAGCGGTTGGCGGTGGAGGGAGGGAACCAGGGGGTCCCAAGTTTCCCCCAGCTCCTTTGGTTCCAAGCACACGGGGCCGGCGATGCAGGCCCGCCTCAAGCTTTCCAGCGGATGTTCGGGGGAGGCGGGACGGCGCAGGCAAGCCCAGCTCTCCCCCACGGCGCCCGCACTCACACACGTGAAGCACAACAACACACCAGATTGCTCCGGACCCAAGCAAAAGCCAGAACTCAGTACCCCACCCCCACCCCACCCCAACTCCAGGAGCAGAGAACGGCAAGTGCCCTCAGAGGAGCCGGACTAGCTCCCTGAACTCCTGGAGAGACAGGCTACCTGGAACTAGCCCGGTGGTCACCTTCTCTTGGGACTTAACCACTGATGGGGCGGGGCAGGGGCTGGACTAAGAGACCCTCGGGTGGGAAGGGAAATAGTCAAGGCCGGCAGCTGCTCTTCGGTATTCTCAGTCTCGTCTGCCGGGGTGCAGGAGGCGTCCAGAGGATGAGGCTGGGAGTGGGTGGCCTAGTGGTCTGGGTGCTGAAGGCCAGAAGCCCTCTGTCCTAGTCCCCTCTCTGCCCTCCTTGAGCGCCCCCTGTCGCCCGACTGACTGTTCTCCTTGGCTGAGGGTATTCCAGGCACCTGTGAGTCCCCGCTGGCCTGAGTTCAGGCTACTACCTCTGGTGGGCAGGGCAGGCGGGGGGGGGGGGCATGGCGGGGCGTGGAGGGGTGTCAGGCTGTGAGCGGTGGGGTAGGGCGGCTGTGCCGGGTGAGCGCGGGAGAAGGTGGCAGGGGTGGGCGGGGAGCAGGGCGGCCCTAGTCACCTGGAAGATCTTGGACACGTCTTCCGAGTTCCGCTGCTGCGCGACATCGCACAGCTTGGCCGTGATGTCGATGCGGCGGCAGATGTCCATGTCCACCTTCATGGCCTTTTCTTGGATCTTTGTGTCCAGGTCTGTCATGGGCTGCAGGGAGGACAGCAGGGGTTACACGAGCGAGGGAGGGAGCCGGCATGCGGGGTGGAGGTGGGGAAGGGTCTGTGCTGTGGGGGAGGAGGGTAGGGGGTGTTGGGTGGAGGGACGCTGGGAACTCTGGATCCTGGGGTGGGGGGGGATGGGGGACTCTGTGTGGGGGCGTCTCCGGAGGCTCCTCTCCGCGGACAGTGTCAGTGGGGCTCTGGTTGGCCCAGAGAGGGCAGGAAGGCGGCCCCCGCTCTGGTCTGACTGTTGAGAGATGCCCCCCGTCCCCATGTACGCTTCTTGTCCAGTTCAAACGTCCCGCCCGAACCCCACCTGGTGCCCACAAGCCAGTGTTCTGGTGCTGGGCCTCCTCGCCCGCAGACACGGAGGCTCACCCAGGCCCCACCTGGGACTCTGCCGCCAGCCACACCTAGCCTCACCCCCTTGGCCCAGAAGCCAGTCCCAACTGGCAGTTTCTCCCCGACACACGATGACCTTGAGCGCACAGGAGGCAGGAGACTTGAGTTCCCCGGCAGGGAGGAGGCCTTGGCTGCCACGCTCCCCACCAGGACTCCGACCAGCCCCTGTTCTCCAAAGGCCACACACACCAGCCGGTCCTAACTCTGCACAGCACTCTGCTATAGGCTGCTGGCCTGGGCTCCGCTCACCGACCCACAGGGGCTAGGCTCCACCAACCTGCCATCTTCCCCCCACCCACCCACAGGCCTGGGCTCCCACATGCCCGCCCGATGGGAACACACACACTCAGACCATCAGAGGCGCAGACCCGGGGGAGGGCGGGATGGGTTAAGCGGCAGATTAATGCATCTCTGCTCAGACTGAGGGAAGCGGAAGTGAGGGGGGGATGCCTGGTCTCCGAGGCATCGGTCATCCTCACAGTCAAACACAGCCAGCCGGGACTCTAACTAGAAGCCAGCCTGGAGCGGCCGAGTGAATGAAGCATCTTGCATGATGGGGGTGGGGCGGGCGGGGAGAGGTGGTGACGCCTTGGTGGGAGGGGGGATGGCCGGTGGCACTTACGTCACTCATGAGCCCCTTAAACACCACCAGCTCGGCCTTGAGCCGCTCGATCTTCTCGTTCATCTCCTCCTGGATGGCTTCAGCCTCCTGAGCTGCCTATGGGGGACGGAGACGGGGGAGGCTTTAGGCACCCAGAGCCCTGGATGCCCATATGCACCCAGGTCAGGCACCTGAGTGCCCGGGGGACGGGCACTGCCCAGCTGGTCACACCTTTCAAGGGACGCTTCAGTGCAGGGATGAAGCCACAGCAGATAAGAAAAAAAAAATGGGCCCAAGTTAACAGAATCTGACACCTGGGGCAGGTTCAAAATTTAGGTGAATCCAGGTGCACTTCCCACTGGGGGAGCAAGTTCAGCTCAGAACTCACAAGCAGGCTGTGTGTGTGTGTGTGTGTGTGTGTGTGTGTGTGTGTGTGTGTGTGTGTGCAAGGGCCAGGCCCCAGGGCCAGGCACACACCAGCCACGCCACCAGCTGTGTGGGGAAACTACATTTCCTTCCATGTGCTGATTCCCAGTCCCAAGATTCGACTCAGGCTCGTGCCAGGCTTGCAAAGCACAAAGTCCTTCTGCGATGAACAGAAGGTGGCATGTGCCTGTATCTCACCCTCTGGCGCAGGGGATGCCAGGATGGGGCAGGGGGCGGGGTCAAGAATCTGCCTCTAGTTTCTGGCAGCTGCTTTTAGGATCAGAAGGCAACTTTCTTTGTTTCGTTTCTGTTTGGGGCCCACAGCTGGCAGTGCTCAGAGGTGACTCCTGTCTCTGTGCTCAAGGATTCCCTCCTGGCGGGCTCAGGAGGACTTCGTGGTGCCAGGGACCAAAATCAAGTCATCCGCATGCAAAGCAAGGGTCCTGCCTGCTGTCTTATGGCTCCGGCCCCAGAAGGCAACTTCTCAAAAATGTCTGAAGGAATGTTCCCTGCTTTCTCGTGAGGTTGCTGCTCTTGTCCCCACTGGAGGGAGGAAAAGGCAGACTGAGAAGGGACAGGCTACTGGCCAGGAGGCAGGCCGAGGTGAGCAGAAGGGCCTGAGCCAGACCTGTGACATCTCTGCCACCCTGGAGGCTGGGGACATGCCCCCGGCAGTCAGCTCTCGGGTCCTGCCGTCTGGGACTCAGCCCCCGATTCAGCCCCCGTGTGTGGGGCCTCTGCCCGAAATTCCCACGGAGGTAACACGGAGCAGATGCTGGGCTGGGCATGGCCCCAGATTTCTTCTGTCCTGGGGTACTCCTGCAGTTGTCTCTTACCTCCTGCAGTGTGTCCACCATGGTCTGCAGGTTCATGCGTTTGGCCAGTTCTTCCTCCCATCTGCAAGAGGCAAGAGGGACAAGGGGTCAGTGGTGGCCTCCCCATGCACTTGCAGCCCTCACACCCAGCCTGGTTCTCTCCCTGGGCTGGGTACAGACTCCCCAGGGACCCGGCCTGCCCTCCAGGACCTCCTGGTCTAGAGGGATAAGGCAGCCAGACGGACCCAAAACCACAATCCCAAGGGACAAGGAATGAGTGCCAGTGGTGTGAGCATGGCACCATGACGAGACATGGCAGAGGAACTGCCGCTTCCTCCCGCAAACTCTGAGGTGCTGCGCAAACTCAGGCTGACTGCAAGAAACAAGTGTACCACGGGGCCAGAGCTATCACACGGCGGGGAGGGCATTTGCCCAGCCAACCCAGGCTCAACCCCCAGCATCATATATGGTCCCTGAGCACCGTCAGGAGTAATTTCTGAGTGCAGAGCCAGGAGGAACCCCTGAACATCATCGGTGTGACCCAAAAAAAAAAAGCCAAAAACCAAACCAAAGCAAGAAGTGTGCCCCAAGACACAAGCCTGTGTGTGTGTGTGTTTGGGGGGCTGTACCCATCAGTGTCCATTGCTCACAGGTCACTCCCTGCAGTGCTGGGGTAGGGGGAAGCGTGGTGGGAGCAGAAGGACTGCTCCCAGCTCAGTGCTCAGGAGTCACCGCTCCCAGCCGTGCTCCAGGGACCATGGGGTGCTAGAGCTGAAACCAAGGTCTCCTGTGTGCCACAGCATGAGTTGCAGGCCGCTGGGCCATCAGTCCATGGCACAGACCCGGACTGCACACATGGTGGCCGTCTCTGAGTTCACTGGTCTTGTAGCCCGCAGCCCGCACCCCAGCCCCCAGGCCTTCACCACGAGCATCATCCCCGCCTTGCAGATGAGGACACACAGTTGCAGAGAGCTCAAGCGTTCTGAACAAAGACACACAGCTGGGTGGGGCTGGGGTTCGAACCCCGGCCTATTGCCTTGCTTAAAATAAACACAATCGATCTGGCTGTTTCTCGTGCCAGCTCGCCTTCCAGGGGCTTTCCAAGTGCGGGCACATTCACACACGGAGCGCATTCATTCCCCTATCCTGTCCAGCAGGTGAGGGGGGGAAGGCACAGCGGACCCCCAGCGCTAATTGCTAGGAGGGCCAGGATGATCACTGTCGCTGGAGCCAGGCCAGTGCACTCCGACTCCCCCACCTCACGGCCGCCCGCCTCTCCCACCCCACCACTTTCCACTCCGGGGCGGAAAGCATGGGCTCCAGCAGCAGTGCTCGGAACCCCCCAGGCCCCCGCAGGCTCCCCTAGGCCCAGGAGCCATCACGGCTCAGGGGTTACTCCCTGCCAGTGCTGGGACGCCACCCGGTCCCCCCCCAACCCCGCCACCCTGGAGGAAGCAGAGAGAAGTGAGGGTGACACCCCCACCCTCCGGCCTGGCTTGTCTCCTTCCCCGCCTGTTCCCCCCACCCCACGCAGCCTCAGAGCTCGAGGTCTGGAAGCCTTTTAGGATGCTGTCCGGGCGGCTAAAAATAGGCGCGAGGGGAGAGCGATGGATAAGGAGTCGGTTACGTCACCGGCTTTGGGAAACGAGAGAACGGATATTGTTTGCACACACAGAGGAAAATTCCTCGTCTCTCCCACACTGGCCGCGCTGGCCCTGGCCGGGCCTCCCGGAGGAGTCACAGACTCTCCTTGTCTGTCCAGACCCCCCGTGGGTCTGTCTGCTGGGTGTGGGAGCCTGCGGAGAGCAGGACAGAACACAAAGCAGGCTGAGGAGAAGCAGCGAGAGCCCGGGGAGCAGCTCACAGCACACGCTCGACAGATAGGGAAACTGAGGCCCAGAGCACAGCGTGTCTGTCCAAGGTCACCCAGGCCGGGGGGAGGGGCGCAGAGCCAGGGACCTGCCCCAGGGGCCCATGCACGGGATGGGATTCCCAAGTAGGGAGAAGTTCACCGGGCCATACTCAGCCCCGCGCAGGGCCTGTGTGGCTCCCCCGGGGAGGCCCCGCCGGGACCCAGGTCCAAGCTGAATCATCTCTCCTGGCCATGGGGCTTGGGAAGGATCTGAAGCCACAGCGCAGAGAGGGAACCAGGGAGGCTGCCGCCTGGCTCCGGGATTTGGAGTCACCCCACCCCTGCGCCTGCAGTGAGAGCAGGAGAAATTGAAGCTGTGGCTACTGGGAGCAGATACACCCCCACCCACGGGGTCTCGCCAGCTCCCCCACGCTTCTCCTTGGAGCAAACTTCTGCCAGAGAAAGCCAGGCTGGGGGTTCACAGGCACACAGACAGGGAGGGGCTCTGAGGCTCCTGAGGGAAAGCAGCTGCCCCTAGGTACCCACAGCCAACACACACACACACACACACACACACACACACACACACATACACACACACACACACACACACACCCGTCTTTGGATCTCAGACTCAGCAGCCACCACCACTCACTGGCAAGCCAGGGTGCCACGCACTGGGCTTGGTGCCCTAATGCAGACACTGTCAGTTTTCCTGCGCGAGGTTACCCAAAGCCAGCCAGGAGCAGAGGGAGCGGAGGGTCAGAGGTGAAGCCACAGACTCAGGGTGCAGGGTGAGGAGGAGTAGGCGGGGGAAGGGGCTGAGCCCAGGCTCTCGAGCTGAGCTGCGAGCCTCCAACTGGGCCAAGCCTCCAACTGGGCCAAGCCTCCAAGTGGGCTGAGTTGGATCCTCTTTCACACCAGACACAGCAGTGCTGGCACGGGGCAGGGAAGCTGCTCCCTGAAGCCACACTGGGGACCCCCGCCCCCTGCGCTCTGGGGTGAACCCCAGCACAGGAGCCTCTGAGGCCCCCAGCCAGGCAGGGCAGGTGGGCGGCGGCACTCCTGGAGGGAGGCCAGGGGTAGCGCCCAGGTGCAGACAGCAGCAGGCTGGGCAGACAGAGAGGGTGCTGCCCGCTCCAAGGGCTGCCGCACTGCCCGTCCTCCACGGCGGGAGGGAGAGGCTGGCTCTGCCCATTCAGATGTTGACGAGGCAAAAACCCTCTGCCCTTCGGCCACTCCGGCTGGCTCCATGAAGGGAGGGGTGGACTCCTGATGCCCCACACTCACGGCCACCCAGCCTGAGCAGCGTCCCTGGAAACTGGCCACTGTGCAGTGGACTCTGGAATGTCCCCACCGCCCCTTCCCAGGCCTGGGAGCTGGGTTTCAACAGGATGGGGGCTTGGAGCAGACGGACCCACGGATGGGCAACAGGAAGGCCGGGGGCAGGGCTGGGAGCCAGCTGTCACCAAGGCGAAGGGGTACCTCTTACAGGCGGGGGTGGGCACAGGCACCAGAGGCCCACGACCTACCCCAGGTCGTATTTGTCGGGGACCAGGCGAGGCTCCCCGAGAGCATGGCTGAGCCAGGACTTGGCTCCAGAGGAGGCCGAGCAGGGAGAGATGCTGAAAGTCGGCCCATCCCGCCCTGCCCCGCCACCAGGCGCCATTCTCCCTGGCAAGGGTGAGGGAACCAGCAGACAGACAGATGCCAACTCTCCTGGTATGAAGGGGAGAGGCAAGCAGTGTGGCGGTCTTACAGCTCCCTGGACAAAGGAGCCCTCTCCCCACTGGCAGGGCGGACCCTGAGGCAGCTCACACACCCCGTGACCCCGGCCATGGGGCCTGGGGTGGCCCCTGCCCAGCTCGTCCTGCGCCCAGCTTCTGCTCCTTCTGATGGCTGCGGAGAGGAGACAGGCTGCTTCCAGGCCGGAGCCTCCCGCATCCTGCCAGGGATGTGCCTGGATGTGTGTGGGGAGGGTCCCTCTTCGCTTCTCGTTCACACTTCCTAAATAAGGATGTTTTACTCCTCAGAGGTGCCTGTCCACCCACCCAGGTCCAGCGGGCATGTGCTTAGACACACATGCACACACTCCCACTCTCGTTCACTCACGCATGCATTCACGCAAATACGCACTCACGCAAACACCCACCCACGCACGCACTCACACATTCATGCACTCACACACAAACTCACACTCACTCACTCATGCGTGCACACTCACACATTCAAGTTGTCACTCACTCAAGCATTTACACACTCATACACGCATGCATTCACACAGGCACACACACAGAGGCACACATGCTCCCATTCCGTGCACTCACACACACTCCCACGCACCCTCACGCATGCTCCTGTACACTCACGTGTGTACACACATATGCAGTCACACACAGAAGCATTCACGCATGCACTCAAGTGAAATACACCGGCGCCGAATCTCCCAGGGCTTCTCCACATTAGTGCAGACGAGGAAACAGAGTCTCAGCAGTCATCTGACTCCTTTGCTCCTCCCTCCTCCTCCTCCTCCTCCTCCCCCTCCTCTTCCTCCTCCTCCTCCTCCTGAATCCCTTTTGTTCTCCCAGGCCTGTCTTCCACATCCGCTTTCCCACAGGCAGGGCAGATACTGCCATTCCTTTCCTGCCTGCAGCTCAAGCTTGCGGTGGCCCCACCAAAGCCTGGCCAACTGCCTTCTCACCGAGGCTCTGCCCAGGGTCAGCCTACTTCCAGGGCGGGCCGGGGGGGCACGGCCTTCCCCGCCTCTCCTCTCACAGAGCTCTCCTTTCCTTCCGCCTGCAGGTGCCCACCTAGGTGCCGGCTTGTCCTGGGGCCTCACTCCATGAGCAGTGTCCCTGTAGTGGTGGGGGGAAAGGGGAGGGGGACAGCTGGAGCTGGCCGGGGCAGCACCCTAGCCGTGGGTGCTGCCGAGCCACAGCCCACACTCATTTCCACAGAGGTCCCCAGACCAGCTTCTTAGGTCCACAGTGCCGATGCGGGAGCCAGTGTCCATCAACCATCTGCCCCGATCACATGGACAGGAAGCTGGGATTGTTCCTACTGAACAGAGAGGGGGACTGGGACGGAGAGACGGCCCCGAGCGAAGGCAGAGGCCACACTCGTCTCCTTCACGCCTGCGTGCAGGGGCTGGAGCAACAGGACAGAGGGGAGGGAGCTTGCCTAGCACGTGGTCAACCCAGGTTCCAGCCTGGCACCCCATATGTCCCCTA